GATCGAACAGGCGGTCAAAAAGACCGAACAGGCGATCATGAAGACCGAAGATCAGATATGATGAACTAGAGTTCCATAGAGTAGAACTGTCAAAGAATTTCGTAATCACGTGCATAGATGCTAAGGGTGCAACAATATACAGCGTAAACAGAAATAGAACCATCATTCAATTGTAGGAAAACATAGCAGAGCAAGGCATAATTATAAAGCTGGAAATAAGCACTTGAATTCAAACATATCTTTACAACAGTGTTACTCACAGTCAGTTCCATGTTGCAGATGACTAGAACGAGGCGTTTGACCTATATAGACAGATATAAACGTTGTTTACTTAATTCACTAACATCCAACTAGTTAGTTCCATGACTTAGGAATTGATTGGTTCAAATGTAGTTTACGCTTGTCAAATGCTCATGCAATGCAAAAAGGACATCAATTACGGGTGTGAAACATGCTAACTAGGGCCCAGGAGTGGAGTAAATGACACAGAAAAGTGAAACCGAGGCTGTCAAACAGCCACACGTGCGGAGCTCTTTGGCCGCACATACAAGACCCTCTCCGCACGTTCGCCGCACGTGTGCCCCCAAGTGCTTTTTATGCAAAATGCCAACAAACTCTTTCATGTTTTCTGCATGTGCGGCCCTAGCCGCCGCACGTGCGCCAGTGCTCTCCCGCACGTGCGGGCTCCCTAGCAGCACGTGCGGTTCTGGGTGTTTCATAACTGAGTTTTTGCTCTGTTTTTTGAACTTCAAACCACCAAAAATCAAACCCAAATTCAATCAAATTAAAGAACGAAAATTAACAAACATGGTGTATTAACAATGACCAAATTCAAACCAAGAATAGGACTTTAAATTCAAACTCAAATTTTACAATCCCATGCACAACTTCAAAGTTAAGAGGAAAACGAAACTCATACACACGAGAAGTCTATATTTCAACAAAACTATGGAAACCAATCTTAAAATCATACAAGATTAAGTCATTAAACTTGAGTAATGTTATTCATGCAAGGATTTAGAAGAATTCCTTTTGGTAGGGTTTATAACACAACTTATACTACCCAATTCCTCACTCACTCCTTAGATTCCATGAATTCAAAATGAAAATTAGTCTGATGTAAGAAATTAGGAAGAATTTTACCTTAATGTGTTAATTAATGAAGTTCTCTCAAATTCTTCCCTTCTTCCTCTTGATCACTCAAGCTCAAACTCTAGAACACTCTCTTACTTTCTCTCGCAAATTATATCCCTCTCTCTCTCTCTCTCTTCTAATTGAAGTCACATATACATATATCTAGATATTTAATTTGCCTATCTCATTTAGCTATCTTGGAGTAATTAACTTAGAGCCTCATAACTTGACTTACCTAGTTAATTTATTAAAACACTACTTCATCTAATTAAGGTGAATCAACTCTAACCACCTTGTCCAGTAATTAATTTATAACCCTACGATTTAATGAATCAGACAGGTCTTTTCATAAGTAAACATATCTGTTAACAAGCATAATGCACATAAATAAGCATATAAGGCACAGATAAATGCATAATTCAAATTAATCATAAAATCAACGGCGAAGTAAGAGGCCAGTGTTACAGTCTCTTCCCCTTAGGACGTTTGGTCCTCCAAACTCAAGTACCTTCTTTAGTGAAGAGTGCAGGATCTAATGGAAGCAATTCAGGGTGTTTCTCTTGCATATCCACTTCTCTTTCCCAAGTTGCATACAAGCCACTGTGGTTCTGCCAGTCCACAATTACTAATGGAATTTCTTTATTTTTCAACTTCTTAATTCGACGGCTAACAATCCGGATAGGTCGTTCTATATATGTATAGTCATCACTCATAAGTATCTAAGTAGGTTCAACAACTTGTTGAGGATCTAAAAGGGATTCTTTTAACATGGAAATATGAAAAATGTTATGCACATGTTCCATATCTGAAGGTATGGCTATTCGGTATGCTACTGGGCTTAGTTTCTCAATAATCTTGTATGGTCCGATGTATTGAGGTGCTAACTTACTCTTAACTCCAAAACGAGTGTGTTCCTTCATTGGCGTAACTTTAATAAAAACATGGTTGTCTACTTCATATTCTCTTTCCTATCTATTCACGTCAGCATAACTTTTTTGTTGGCTTTGTGCGGTTTTCAACCATTGCTGGATCAACTTTATTTTTTCGGTGGTTTCTTGTACAAGTTTGGGTCCCAGTAACGGTCTATCTCCAACCTCGGCCCAACAAATCGGCGATCGACATTTCCTACCATATAGAGCCTCGTATGGTGCCATGCCAATGCCGGAGTGATAGTTGTTATTGTATACAAATTCAACCAAAGGCAAATGTGTTTCCTAATTTCCTTGAAAATCCAATACATATACACGTAACATATCCTCGAGCATCTGAATTGTTCTCTCTGATTGGCCATCTGTTTATGGATGGTATGCACTGCTCAACCTTAACTCAGTTCCCATTACCTTTTGCAAACTTTGCCAAAACCTCGAAGTGAATTTCAGATCTCTATTTGATACAATTAATACAGGGACTTCATGCAATTTCATAATTTCATTCATATACAGAGTAGCCAATTTATCCACAGTATATGTCGTCTTAGCAGGTAGGAAATGAGTGAATTTTGTCAATCGATCTATGATTACCCAAATAGAATCCATACCTTTGCTGGAGCGAGGCAAGCTAACCACAAAATCCATTGTAATATGTTCCTATTTCCACTCCGGTATTGGCAATGGCTGAAGCAATCCTACGGGTCATTGATGTTCTGCCTAAACTTGTTGGCATTGCAAACACTTGGATACGAATTCAGTAATTTCCCTTTTCATTCCCCGGCCACCAAAATTCTTCAATAAGTCTTGATACATTTTTGTGTTCCCTAGATGGATAGAGAATTTGGAACTATGGGCTTCTTGGAGGATTCATTTTTTCAAATCACTGTCCTTTGGTATATACAATCGTCCTTGAAATTTGAGTCTGGCATTCTCAAAACTGAATCCCGGTCTAGGTTTAGATTCCCGTTCATCCACTATTTTCTTGAGGAACTCATCTCGTAACTATTTGTTTTTGATCCTTTCCACTATTGCCGGTTCATGCAACACTGTTTTTTGACTAGCGAGTAAACAAGCTAAGTTTCCCATGGATTTCCGGCTAAGGGCATCGACTACCGTATTAACTTTTCCAGGATGATACATAATTTGCAAATCATAATCCTTAATCAATTCAAGCCATCTATGCCGCCTCATGTTCAACTCTTTCTGGGTAAAGAAATATTTCAAACTTTAGTGATCGGTATATACTTCACATGCAGCTCCATACAAGTAGTGACGCCAAATTTTTAATGCAAAAATCACTACAACTAATTCTAGATCGTGAGTCGGGTAACTCTTTTCATGTGGTCTTAAGTGACAAGAAGCATAGGCAATCACCCTTCTGTTTTGCATCAATATGCATCCTAAGCCTTTATAAGAGGCATCACTATAAATGGTAAAGCCATCTGTCCTAGAAGGTAAAGTGAGGATTGGTGCTGTCACAAGTCTCGTCTTCAACTCTTAAAAAGCTGTCTCTCGTGGTTCTGTCCACTCGAATGATACTTCCTTTTGGGTCAATTGAGTGAGTGACAAGGCAATCTTTGAGAAGTCCTTCACAAATTTGCGATAGCATCCAGCCAGGCCCAAGAAACTGCGAACTTCTGTCACATTCGTTGGTCTCGGCCAAAATACAACAGCCTCTATCTTTTGTGGATCAATAGAGATACCCTCTTTTGTTACGACGTGTCCTAAAAATGTCACACTATCTAGCCAAAATTTACATTTTGACAACTTAGCATATAATTTCTTCTCCTTCAACGTTTGAAGAATAAGTCTCAAGTGGTGTTCGTGTTCTTCCTTGCTCTTAGAATAGATTAGAATGTCATCGATAAAGACCACAATGAACTCATCAAGGAATGGCTTAAAAACTCTGTTGATTAGATCCACAAAAGTAGCTGGTGCGTTTGTAACCCCAAAAGGCATAACGAGGAATTCATAATGACCGTATCTTGTTCGGAAGGCAGTCTTCTCCACATCTTCAGCTTTAACTTTTAACTGGTGATACCCAGACCGCAGGTCAATTTTAGAAAGCACCTGTGCCCCTTGAAGTTGGTCAAACAAATCATCAATGCATGGCAACGGGTACTTATTCTTGATTTTCACCTTGTTCAACTCCCGATAGTCAATACAGAGCCTTAAGGTTCCGTCCTTCTTCTTAACAAATAACACCGGAGCACCCCACAGAGTTGTACTAGGCCTGATAAATTTCTTAGTTAACAATTCTTGTAACTGAGTTTTCAACTCTTTTAATTCAGTAGTTGACATCCGATATGGGGTCTTAGAAATCTATTGGGTACCTGGGACTATCTCAATAGTGAACTCGATTTCTCTATCAATCAAATTCCCGAGCAAATCATCTAGAAACACATCTGGGAATTCTTCTACTACAGGAATACTGCTTACATCTGGTTTAGCAGTAGTTGACACTGTTAGTACCGAACATAGAAATCCCTTGCACTCCTTATTAATCAGTCTATTCGCTTTCATAGAGGAAATCAAATATGGGGGAGATATAACACTATTCCCATTAAATGTAAATTCAGGCCTTTCGGATAAATGAAACACAACTTGTTTGGTTAAGCAATCAATTGTAGCACAATACTTTGATAACCAATCCATCCCCAAGATTACATAAAAATATGCAATATCTAATGGTAACAAATCCACATACAATTTCATGCCTCCAATAATGATTTCACACGCAGGATACATAGATGTACATATCATAGTTTCCCCTGCCAGAGAGGTGACAACTAAGGCATAGTTCATTGATTCCAAAGGCCTAAGTAATTTTGGAGCAAAAGCATAGGACACAAAAGAATATGTAGACCTTGAATCAATTAACACATGTGCATTCTGAGAATAGATAGGAAGAATACCTGACACAACCGTCTTTGTAGTCTACACATCACTCGGCACCAACGCAAAAACCCGTCCTTGTTTTAGAGTTTCCTTAATTGTAGTTGCTTTCGAAGTTACCCGTGGTGTTGACACAGACGCAGTTGAACTAGCCTTAAGCTGGCTTGTACTCTGGGACACTAAAGGACAATCCTTGATCATATGGCCTATTTTCTCACACCGGAAGCATGCACCTGAAATTCTACGACAAACTCCCTTATGTCTTTTTCCACATTCCGGGCAAATGGGTATATCATTCCCTTGGCTTGAACTAGGAAATGATCCCGTATTCTGTCTTTTGTTTGGTTGGATGTTGAAGTTGTTCCAACCCTTCTTGAAATTAGATCCCGGCCTTTTACCCTTCCATTCAACCACTGGTGCCTTTGCTTGTCTTAGTACGACAACATTTGCCTCAGCTATGATGGATCTATCCAAAACATCAACGTATTTTTCTAACTTGAGTACATTAACTCGATCAAGGACCTCAACATCCAAACCACCTTTGAACTTCGTGGCTTTCTTATATTCGGTGTCTACCATATGTGGTGCATAGCGCACAAGCTCTGTGAATTTAGCTTCATACTCCGCTACTATCATAGTACCCTGCTTCAACTGCTCAAATTCTATCACCTTGCGGTCTCTCACACACTGTGAAAAATATTTTTCAAAAAAAACTTCTTTAAACTGTGCCCAAACCATGGCAGTCTGCTGATTCTGATCAAGCATCCACCATCTTCTTGCTTCCTCTTGCAGAGTGAAGGTTGCTAGCAAAACCTTTTGTTCTTCAGTACATGGGAATACTTCAAATAACTTTTCAATCTCCAAAATCCAAGCTTCAGCCTTTAGCGGTTCAAGGCCTCCCAGAAAGGTAGGCGGTTTCAGCTTATTGAACTTCTGTGTCAAGGTAATAATGTCACCGTTGTTAGGTGGCTCCACTAGAATTGGTGGCAGAGGCGGAAGTGGAAAGGGCTGTCTCTGTTGTTGTCTTAGTGCTTCTGTCAAAAACTCCACCATTCGCTCCAACCGATCCATTCTTGCATCAAAAGTTTCAGATGTCTCTACAGTTCTTGTTTCTTCCATTGGACTATATATAAATAGAATAATAATATACACAGGACATATAAGGTTTACACATGCATTGTTACCACATAGGCACATCAGATAAACCACACACACTCACACATGCAGCTAATCTGCCCTGATTTCTTTTCTAGGACATCCTATAGCTCATTTAGACACGTGTGTGCGGTACAACTCGTGTTCTGATACCACTCTTTCATGACCCAAACCCGCCTCTAGAGGTTTAGTATCATGACTGGCTAGTAATCTGTGATTACCAAAGGCCTAACTGAACAAATCAAAAGAATGGGGCTAGCGGAAGCTAATACATAAGAAAGAAAAACGTCCAACGAGCTGTGACCTTCCATTAGACAAAAGACATAGCTATATATATATACATGTACATCCAGGTATTACAAGTCTCTCGTAATTACAACATAACCAAAAGAGGTAAGTCATTCCCATCAATAATAAATGTAATGCTAGTGACAATCAACCATGATACACGTGCGAGTGTCAAAAGAGTAACCACTGGGTCAGTCAGTGCTTCAACAGATGGGAACCTATACAAGAGGCATAAAATGTAGCTTGACCAAAATGGAGTTGAGATCGTCGCCACTACGTCCTCTCCTAAACTAGATTACCTACATATACGTATAAAACATGAGTCAAAGCCCAGTGAATAACAGCTGAGTAAAGGGGGTTCTGAATGATGATTTAAATGTAAAATAAAATACATGCTGAATAGGTTCGTATTACGTATGAGAAGCATAATATAACACATGGTATATTCAAAAGCAGTAAATACAGGTGGCCTAGAAGACCGAACAGACGATCATGAAGATCGAACAGGCGGTCAAGAAGATTGAACAGGCGATCATGAAGACCGAACAGGCGATCATGAAGACCGAAGATCAGATATGATGAACAGGAGTTCCATGGAGTGGAATTGTCAGAGAATTCCGTAATCACGTGCACAGATGCTAAGGGTGCCACAATATATAGTGTAAACAGAAATAGAACCATCATTCAATTGTAGAAAAACATAGCAGAGCAAGGCATAATTATAAAGGTGGAAATAAGCACTTGAATTCAAACATAGCTTTATAACAGTGTTACTCACAGTCAGTTCTGTGTTGCAGATGACCGGAACGAGGCATTTGACCTACACAGACAGATATAAGCGTTGTTTACTTAATTCACCAACATCCAACTAGTTAGTTCCATGACTTAGGATTTGATTGGTTCAAATGTAGTTTACTCTTGTCAAATGCTCATGCAATGCAAAAGGGACATCAATTACGGGTGTGAAACATGCTAACGGGGGCCCGAGAGTGGAGTAAATGACACAGAAAAGTGAAATCGAGGCTGCCAAACAGCCATACGTGCGGAGCTCCTTGGCCGCAAGTGCAGAACCCTTTTCGCATGTGCGCCAGTGCTCTCCCGCACGTGCACCAGTGCTCTCCCGCAAGTGCAGGCTCCCTAGCCACATGTGTGGTTCTGGGTGTTCCAGAACTGAGTTTTTGCCCTGTTTTTGGAACTTCAAACCACCAAAAATCAAACCCAAATTCAATCAAATTAAAGAACGAAAATTAACAAACATGGTGTATTAACAATGACCAAATTCAAACCAAGAATAGGACTTTAATTCAAACTCAAATTTTACAATCCCATGCACAACTTCAAAGTTAAGAGGAAAACGAAACTCATACACATGAGAAGTCTATATTTCAACAAAACTATGGAAACCAATCTTAAAATCATGCAAGACTAAGTCATTAAACTTGAGTAATGTTATTCATGCAAGGATTTAGAATAATTCCTCCTGGTAGGGTTTATAACACAACTTATACTACCCAATTCCTCACTCACTCCTTAGATTCCATGAATTCAAGATGAAAATTAGTCTGATGTAAGAAATTAGGAAGAATTTTACCTTAATGTGTTAATTAATGAAGTTCTCTCAAATTCTTTCTTTCTTCCTCTTGATCACTCAAGCTTAAACGCTAGAACACTCTCTTACTTTCTCTCTCAAATTATATCCCTCTCTCTCTCTCTCTCTTCTAATTGAAGTCACATATACATATATCTAGATATTTAATTTTCCTATCTTATTTATCTATCTTGGAGTAATTAACTTAGAGCCTCATAACTTGACTTACCTAGTTAATTTATTAAAACACTACTTCATCTAATTGAGGTGAATAAACTCTAACCACCTCGTCCAGTAATTAATTTATAACCCTACGATTTAATGAATCACACAGGTCTTTTCATAAGTAAACATATCTGTTAACAAACATAATGCACATAAATAAGCATATAAGGAACAAATAAATGCATAATTCAGATTAATCATAAAATTAACGGCGAAGTAAGAGGCGGGTGTTATAGAGGTGGTCAGGAAGATTTCACTGCTTCAAGTGTGGTCAGTTGGGCCACAAGTCTCTAACTTGCCTGCAGAGAAGAGGATGGTAACGGTCTGCATTGTCTTCAACTCGTTCTCAAGGCCAGAGCTAGGGGAGAGGGCAACCGCTCACTTGTTATCAGTGTGGGTAGGTGGGGTACATGAAAATGTTTGCCCTCTATTGGGTGACACACCTGGTGTGTCGGGTTCGAGGCAGACACAAAGCTACCAATCTACATAATCAGCACAGGCCTTGAGGACCAATCAGGGAGCCTTTTTAGCTCAATTAGTGCATCAGGCTTATGCTCCGAGGGGTGAGCAGGTTGAGCAGAGACCCACAAGGCGTGTGCATGCTGTTACCGCGCCGGACTTAGTGCCAGCGCCTTCGGTAGTGAGAGGTACTTTCTTGTTATGCAATTTCATTGCTAATGTGTTGATTAATACAGGTACATCCCATTCTTTTATCTCGTCTGCATTTGCATCGGTTTTGGGGTTAGAGTTGGCTCGGTTAGTTTCTTCTCTCAGTGTAAAGTCACCTATTGGGAGTGAGATTGTTTTGGAGCAGGGGTGTCGGGGTTGTGACATAGAGGTTGCCGGTCACCGACTTCTTTTTGAATTTGTGTTGATTGACATGTCTAGTTTTGATGCTATTTTGTGTATGGACTGGTTGTCATCTGTGAGATCATGAAATATCCTCTCACATGGATGTTGTGGAGATCCAACGAAGAGAAGAGCTTCACCTCTGTAGATCTACAATGATAAACATAGTCGGTGCCACCCAACCGGTGTTGCCAGCTGGGGACTCTCCGATGATGAAGTCAGTCCTTGAATCAAGGAAGAAATAGTATATACATTTGAAGGGGTGTGTGTTTTGTAGAGAGAGAGCAGATATACCTTCCACTTGGGATGACCCCTCTTTTATATAGATGGGGGTGTAATATTTGTTTGGGTTGGACCCATTGTAGGCTTTATTTGGGTTAGGCCCAATAAGCTAGTACCTATATTTTTCTAGTTCCCATAATTGCTCCAAAACTTTCATTATCTTCCGTAGAAGGAATGAGAGTTTTTATTGCCGAATTAAGCTGTTCAAATAGATGTTAGGTCCTTTGACAAAGAATACATTTGATAAATGAATAACATAAATGAATGAATGGCTGGTTAAATGCATATATGTATGAATGTATGTACCAATATATGTATATAGAGGAGAGAAGTGAGCTAAAGCTCACTGAGTAATACTATCTCTATAACGATGGGTCACGGTATTATAACCCCTGGGTAAGGGTGTAGGCCGCGGTATTATAACCCCAGGCAAGGGTGTAGTATATTGTCGAGTGCAAAGATTGCTTCCAAATATGGACTTTCGTGCCGAGCTAGAAATATTCTATATGCCGAGCATGAAAATGATTTCCTGAACAAAAGAAGGCAGATTAAATAAGGTAGATATATCAGCCAAAAAATAATCCACGGCATTATTACCCCCGGGTGAGGGTTTAGACCTGCGGTATTATAACCCCCGGGTGAGGGTGTAGGCCACGGTATTCTAACCTCCGGGCGTAGGTGTAGGCCGCAGTATTCTAACCCCCGGGCATAGGTGTAGGCCTTTGCTGATGGTGCTCCGTGTCGAGTGCGAAGATTACGTTGTACTCGAAGACTTTTATTGATTTTAAGTGGCGACCAAGTGCCAATATGGCAAGGACTTTGAATAATGTATCCTGTACCGAATAAGGTGGACGTGTTAATCACCAATAATATTGCTCCGCTTGTATGGAATTGCCAAGTAGATATTGGGCCAACTATTTAATTGCTGAGTTGCTCGGTTTGCGTTTAGTCCAAGGTAGACTTGCCCCATTGCTTTCGAATGATAGGTGTTAATCGGAAGGAATGTAGATTCCCATTGCCCTATGTTGCAGGGAAGATTCGGCTTTGGTAAAATGACGGCGCGTAAAAATATGCAAACTGCCGACTGCCAAGTGTGTAATGTATTGCCCCAAAACGGGCGCTTGCTTCAAGCTATGTGAAAAGAAGCGGGAGTTTGTAACTCAAGTAAATGTCGTTGTAATGTTTGTACCAAGTTGGCCAAGTATGCATGCATATCAAAGGTGCCGAAATGATGATCGGCTGAATAATAATCATAATGTTGAATTAATAATGGTGCCGAATAATATTGCCGAGTAAAATTGATGCACTGCCGAGTAACTAGTGTCAAAACATCGGTGTCCGTTTACACTTGGGTCGGTGATTGTGCCGATCGCTTGGTCGGCGACTTTTCTTAGCTTCGCGGTGTGTCGCATTCCTTCGGAGTTAGATTTGCTAAGAACTTGGTTGGCAATGGTTGCTAATTTAGTGAAGTTGAGTTTCTTGTATAATGGTTGCTAATTTAGTGAAGTTGAGCTTCTTGTATAACGTATATTAAAGCATCGGTTATTCGGAAGGAATAAAATTGTCCTGGGACAAAATTGTCGAGTAGACCGATAACAATTTGAAACGGATTTCGTGCCCCTGTTTGGTGCCGTGGCGAAATCGGAATGAAGCCGAGACAAAGTAGGGTGCTTGGTAAATGCAAAATGAGTCATTGCACTCAATTTTTTAATAAAATCTGTAATTATTTATT